TGTTGAATGTAATTATTTTCTTACAGCTATTTATATGGTTATCATATTTTTATTTTTTATTTGTTTTAATAATAGGTTTATTGTTATTTTTAATGAAAGCGTAATTTAGATTAACAATTTTGTCATACCTGACGGCAACATTCTCACCGTTTTGACGCCTTTTTTTGACTTCAGTCAGCAATCTCTTTCTAACTATTACGGTATCGAGGGAAAAATCATCGTTTATATACATGTTCGTTCCTTTTAATTTGTGCGATTCTTGAAGGATTTTGGCTTTATCTTTGTGTCTAAGCAAATTAATTAAAACTGTTCTTAGACGTCCATCCTTTCTCAATCCGGTCCTATGAGCTTGCTCGATTTCAACGCCATTCAGTCCTAATTTATTTGATAAGAGTGATTGAATTTTCTCTTCAGTTTCAATCCAAGTTTCTTTTACACTTTCTGGTATTCCATCAATTCGCAAATTTTTTTTTCGAGATCTATCTTCGATTTTTCTGTATTTTTCGTTTCTATTTTCCGCTAGAATGTTTTCCTTTTCAAAGCGTTCATTGTTCTGTTCGTGGACTTTTTTAATTTTTTTATCGAAGAGTTCTACTTGAAAATTTAAAGATAATTTAATGCCTTCAATATCTTTTACCAAGATTTTGTTTAGGTTAGCCTTTTCTTTAAAATTTTGTTCAACTTTATCAAGCCGCTCATTAATGATTTTCGTGTTTGCGCTTAAAATTTCAACAAATATTTTTTCTTGTTGCTTCAGCATCGCCTCTGTTTCTTTTTTGTATTCCATTAAAATTTCTTGTAGCATTTTTTTAATTTCAGCAAGTGTAACTGCCATTTTTTAAAAATTTTTTGAAGTAAAATAATTTTTTAAGTAAAATGTGTATTGTAATAAAATTAAAAAAATTATTAAAAACGAAATTTACTGAGGAATTAGTTAAAGAAATCAAACTGCATCTCAATGTTCTTCACCGTTGAAATTCGCTTTTTTCAATGACTGCTCCTTTGTTAAAAACTAAGAAATGTTTATTCTAGACATTTACTGAAGTAAATGCTCTTAATAAAATCAACAAGTTAGATTTTGAGTCATTAAATTGCACCATGTACATCATCAGAAAGTTCACCTGTTTCTCTTAAGGATGAATTAAATGCACTTCTCAATAAAGATAGCATCACACACTTGCCAGAATCTACTGATCAATTTAAACGGCTAAAGCCAGAGTTTTGTCGAACAGAAATACGGACAAATGAACAGAAAATCTTGAAAAAAATTTACAATTCGATACTCTCTATAAAGCCCACCTAATTACCAGACCCACCTAATTAGATGTCGAACACGTATTTTTGAGCTCTACTAGTTTCTGCACAAAAACCAGAAATAATCACAATTATCTGATGAATCGTTAAATTATTTAGTTTTCTTAAAAAAAAAATTTTTTAACATCTTCTCTTCCAACAAGGCTGCAGGCAATCACTAATTAAAGTTGGAAGTTACTGGAAAAGAAAAGATGAAGAGTGTAGAACAAGGTAACGATTGACAGACGACTCAAAAGATTGCAAATTATAAATCCACCCCAGATATGGCAACAATATTCCATACAAGGAAGGTTTTGAGATTTATAGAGATAATAGAATCCGGTGTAAGAAAGTGTTGAGCTCGATAAAGAGATGCAACTTTAACAGATGCTAATTTTACAATGAATTTGATATACGGTTTCCAAGAAAGATCGGAAGTAAGGGTTAATCCTAGAAGATGAAGGGTAGATGATTCATCAAGTACATTACCGTTCATAAATGTAGAAAGGTCTAAATTATTGCAATAACGATTGGCTAAAAAAAAAATGAGTTTTATATGAATTAAAGTTCATCAGCCACTGTGAGCCCGATGCTGTAACAGAAGTAAAATTCTTTTCAAGCTCAAATGCCCCTCTAAGCAATCAGAGAGTGATGGCTTCTTATCATGACAAGAATAAATGGTAGTATCATCAGCGAACAATGCCACCTTAGATGTGAGAATATCTGGAAGATCGTTAATGTAAATTAAAAAGAGTATAGGGCCAAGGATTGAACCTTGACAAACCCCTGAGTTTACAGAATAAGAAGAACAGTGCTGTCCATCTAGAACAACTTTTATACTACGATTGGAAAGGAAGGATTCAATAATCTTAAAGATTTTTCCAGATGCACAGTAAGAAGAAAGCTTATGGAGAAAACCAGCATGCCAAACTTTATCAAACGCTTTAGAAATGTCAAAAGCGATGGCCTTTATCTAATGCATGATAAAACCTATCGTTTAATTACTGTTAGCAAATCAGTCGTAGAACGAGAAGATCAAAATCCATATTGATGATCAGAAAGTAAGTTGTTAGATTCAAGATAAGAGATTAAGTGTTTGTTAATTACAAATTCAAAAACCTTGCTAATGATAGGAAGAAGACTAATAGGACGGTAGTTAGACAAATCAGATCGCTCTCCAGAATTTTTAAAAACAGTGATAACAGATGCTGCTTTCCAGCAGGCTGGAAAACAATACTTTGAGAAGCACTTGTTGAAAAGTTTTTAAAGTTTAGACGACAGCTCCGTAAAAAGCTTTTGCAAGACTATAACAGGTATGTTGTCCGGGCCACAAGCTGCAGAAGAGTCTAAACAGGAAATCAATTTAGATACAGGAGCTGGAGTGATACGAATGTCAAGAATGAATTAACCTGTTTGACGGCTATATCAGGTAGAACGCAACTAGTGGAATCAAGAGATGATATTGATGAAAAGTTCTTAGCAAACAATTCAGCTTTGTCTTGAGGTGAGGGGACAAAGTCTGTGTCATACAAGAGAGTGGAATTACAGATTTGTCCTTATTATTGATACTATTAAAGATTCTGAAGAAGTCACGAGAGCCTAATTTTTGTGATGAAATACGAGATTTTATGACCTGAGAATAGCGGGCTTTCGCATTAGACAAAACTTTTTTACAAAGGTTCCTAGCAGTAATAAACAAACGTCTTTTTTCTAGAAAATTGTTTTGCTGATAGATAGGGAAATAATGGTTTCGATTGGCAATTGCAGCAGCACAATGTGAGGTAAACTACGGAGAAGAGTGAGACTAGACCTGGAATCGTCGAGAGGAAATAAAGAATTCCATGCCAGCTTGAATCCACGAAGTTATGTAAGAAGCTCATTTGTCAACAGAAAGACGCAAGATTTCTACCCAAGGGCCATCACGAAGAAAATCACGGAAAGAGTCTCAGTCAGCTTTAAAGTAGCTGTAAGATGTACAATGGTAGGGGGATTCTGGTGATAAAGAAAAATGAGATAATAGTTTTAGTGAGATCAAACTGTGATCAGAAGCACCTAAGGGTAAATGTGAAGAAACTGATCACCAACTAGGATCAGGAACAGGACATAAGTCGAGTAGAGAAGATAAATGATTCGGTTTGTCTTGAAAGCGAGTTGGAAAGCACATAAAAGAGTAGTCTGTGGATTCAAACCTAGTTTCCCGACAAATGGGTGAGTTCTTACGAATGTAAATGTTAAAGCCAAGCATGTGACTATTGGAGTCTTTACGAATTCAAGGAAGATAACCATCAACACTAAGATTACAAGATGAGACATAATTCAAATTGGTCTCACAAAGAGCAAGTAGGTCTGGTGAACTTTGCAAGAGATAAGACTCAACAAAAGAAAGGTTACTTCGAAGACCACGAATATTAGTGAATGATAGGTTTAGAGAACATGATGATGGCAATGGTTTTTTGTGTTTTATAGTTTTTGTTACTTTATTCATGTTCAAATTTGTTAAAGAACTTGACTCAAAGCATAGATAGTACTCAGTACACTGTTTAATAGCCCAAACAATTGCCTCATTACTATTAATAAACCCTAAGCCGTAACAAAGGGCTCCAATGTGCCCTTGGCAATGCACACCAAAAGTACAAACAGGGACACCATCCATGCGCAACATGGCACTGTTATTACTTTGATATTCTTCAGTTGTTGTATTAATCAGCCTCTCTGAGAGCTACTACAGAGTTTGGGAAACCTAACTACCAGCATGCCTCAGAACCATAAAACTGAGTTTTAGAGCTGTACTCACATTAGGAGATAATAGAATGAGTTGCCTAGTCATAAAAACAGAGACACAAGCAAAACCCATGCATTGAGTCAGGAAGATTCAGCATTCAACATCCTAAACTGGAAACAGTGTATTAAAAATACATCTGTGCTAGCCTAATAGATGAAGAGGAGGTGCAAGGCTGGTCAACAGATAGAATCTGTTCACCCTTAAGTCTTTGCCTAGGAGGCTTTCTACAAGAAAGTAGCCGGATGCATTTAACATCTGCCCAAGATGAGTATTTTTATCGAGACACCTTTTTATCTTAACTAGCCTTTACTCAACCAAGAGCCCCAAGGAAGGGGGTGTTTTATATCGGAATTGGTATCTCCTAACCTTTGCCTAAAAAGGCGTATCCAACAAGGTAGCAGGACTTGAAGCAGATTGTACTGGGTTACATGTTAGCAGGATAACCTGACCTGACAAAAGACAATGACTTATTTTTATCATAAAAATAACTCATTCTAAAATTTATTTTAAAATATAAACATAATGTTAGAACACTTTGTTTAAACAACTTTTTTAATAAATAATACAAGATAAATTTACATAAGTTTTATTACTTAACACAAAAAAACGAAAACCACGGTTAAGCTCGTTTTTTTTTAAATTCAAGCAGAAACCGCGGATTTTTATAAACGCAGTTTTACAAAAACCTATAGCCCAAAAAAACCCTTACTTATTGTTAAATAATTTGTTGTAATTTCCTACAATGCATCAATAAAATTCATCTGACTTTGTATTTAATATTTTTGTACCAACAGTACTAAATACAAATTAAGCAAAAATAAAAAAAGATTAGTTTAATAACCAAACATTTTTTATAGTTAGTGGTATCTAATATAAATGTTAAATCTACTTATATTGTTAATAAGTTACATCTTCAACATTTTAGGTGAACATGAAAAAAACCTTCCTGAGGCAAGACGAAATATATCTAATTCTGGTACATGTGACCAATTCAATTTTATTTTTAATGATTTTCACAAAGCTGGCTATCTAACTATGTTAAGTGAAGACAATCCAGAGTGGGGTACTTTTCACTATCGTCTGAATGGCTTTAATAATTTGCCAACATCTTGGTATCTACGTCCATTTTGGTTAGCTCAAAATTCATCCGCTAAATGTGATGTTGAATACAACACCAAACTTCTTAAAACATTCACAAAAACATTCGAAGATCTACCAAAATTATCTTTGATAATAAACGCCGATATTGGGCACAATGATTTTAATGGTTTACAAGCAATTGATGAAGATATTCTTGAAATAATAAACTTTTTCAAATATCCTACAAGAATTAATCACACTATTCTTATTATTTTTGGGGATCACGGCGCACGCATCGGTGATTTTCGCTCAACAACTCAAGGAAAACTGGAGGAAAGATTGCCCTTTTTTTCTATTACTTTACCACCTGACTTTAAAAATAAGTACCCAAAAATGCTTAGAGCTTTGAAAAAAAATTCCAATGTTTTAACTAACCACTTTGATGTTTACGCAACACTGCAACATATGCTAAGTTATCCAGATATTCCAAGTAAGAAATTGATTGGTCAGAGTTTGTTTACTGAAATTGATCCAACCGTAAGAACTTGTGAAAACTCTGGCGTTGATGACCATTGGTGTCCTTGCTTAAACTATGAAGTAGTTGCTGTAACAGATGAAACAGTAAAAAAAATTGCGCACGAAGTTGTTCGTTATTTAAATAGTTTACTAAACGAAAATGAAAAAGCTCGAAATTATTGTATGAAGTTGACGTTGCAATCAGTTTTATCTTCGGGTTTAAAAACCCCTAAAAAAGAAGTCAGTCACTTTATAAAAACAAAACAAAATGATAAGTGTGATTCTTGTGGTGTTGTTTACGACACTACTGTTATCGCCAAGAAATATTATGAAGTTGTTATAACAGTTTATCCTAGTAATGGAGCTTTTGAAGCTAATGCTGATGTTTTACCTGATAACTCAATTGTAGTAGATCCTAATATTAGCAGAATAAATCTGTACGGTAACCAACCTCATTGTATTATAAATGAATGTCCGCATTTACGACCTTATTGTTATTGTTCATCACAAAGTTGAATGTTAGAAAATCACAATCTAACATTAGTCACATTAATTTTTTTTAAGTATTATGACACTACAGAACTTAAACAGTATAAAAAAGGGTAAAGTAATAGTAAGAACAAAATACTTATTGTATACTATAATATTTGAAAAGAAGAATATATGAAATATAAAACTTTAATAAATAAATTTATATATACCTACCCAGCTAGCACAAATACGTTGTTAAGACATTAGAACAATGTCGAGCGTTTCGTTGGCCCAACATCGGCTGCCAACTTTGTTTTTATATCATTATGGTTACAAATGCGGCCAACAACTAAAAACCAATGTTTATAAAACGTTTATTTAAAGTCGGAAAGTTATGGTTATATTTTCTACGTTGATTTAACGTTTTATACGTTGGCCCAACGTTGTATTTACGTTGATTCAACGTTAAACTTTTGAACAACGTTGAAATTGGTAAAACGTTGTATTCATTACTATTCGGAATTAAATTTTCATTAAATTCTATTTTCTTTATATATATATATCTTTATTTATATATTTTCTTTTTTTTTATATTTATATTATATTTTATATTTTTATATTTATATAATTTAATAATAATATTTATATTATATTTTATATTTTTATATTTATATAATTTAATAATAATATTTATATTATTTTTATATTTATATTATAATTATAATTATATATTTTCTTTCTTTATATATTTTCTTTATATATATATCTTTATATATATATATATATATATATATATATATATATATATATATATATATATATATATATATATATATATATATATATATATATATATATATATATATATATATATATATATATATATATATATATTTATATATATATATATATATATATATATATATATATATATATATATTTATATATATATATATATATTTCTATTTTATATATGTATTTATACATATAAATATATGTATTTATACATATAAATGTATATATTTATATTTATTTATAGCCTACATAAACATTAAAATTTTTAAATAAGGTTGTCAATGCTTGATCATTGAAACAAAAATGATGTTTGTGTTGATTGTGTTTGATATTTTAATGATCACGGAATATTTTATTTAAGTTATATAATTTCGCAATAGCAATGTTTGGTCGCATATATTGGATCAACGTTGGGTTTAGTTCGTAAAAACGATCAACTTTTTGCGATGTATTTACATACATTGGATCAACATTGATTTATTTGCATTAAATCAACGTCAAAATATATACATTGGATCAACGTTGGGTATAGATCGTAAAAACAATTAAATTTTTTCGATGTTTTTACATACATTGGAAAAATGTTAATTTATATACATTGAATTAACGTCGAAATATATACATTGAATCAACAATTGGTTTAGATCCTAAAAACAATCAACTTTTTGCGATGTTTTTACATACATACATACAAACGATCTAGTCTTGAATGGGAGTTTCCCACACAAGACTAGATCGATGTTTGATATTTTCCCACTCAAGACTTGATCGTTTCTATATAAGTAAAATTTGTAGACAAAATATAAGAACCTACAATAAAATGAGCCAACAATATTAACGGATCATTGTAATGCTCAAATTATAGGAATAACGAATAACAAAAAAACTTTCGGAAAAGGAACGTGGATATTAAATAACGCGCTCGTTCAAAACAAGGAATATAAAACTTTTATAGAAACAACCTTGGAAGAGTGGAGACAACATAAACAAAATTTTACAAACACAAAAGAATGGTGGGAAGCCGGAAAAGAAAAAGAAAACAAACTTCTACAAAATTTAGCAAAAAACTAAGTCAAAATAAAAATAAAAAAGAATATAAACTAAAAAAACTTCTAAAAAATGCATCCAGGAAAATGCACTTAAATAAAAATATGAAAATTTTATATAAAGACATCAAAACGAAACTAGAATTAATCGAAAAAGTAAAAGACAAAAGCCGAAGATATAAGGGCAAAAGTTCAATGGCGATTAGAGGGAGAGAAATGTACAAAATTATTCTTCGGTCGAGAAAAAAACAATCTATCAAAACAATACGTTTCAGAAATATACGACAAAAATGGAGAAACAAAAAATACATCTGGACACATCCTATAGATCGAGTTCAATCCCCACCACGTCCCTGGTAGTACAGCGCTCAATTCGTTTCTCCACGCAGCGGCCTTGTTCATCAAGGTTCGTGTTTCGGAGTTATAGAGTGGAAAGAGAGGGTTATAACCACAAATAATTAGCCTCCTCGTCTGTAGTGGCCTTCTCGGCCTTGAGGAGGTGAATTAAAATACATTAAAAAAAAATGAATTCAAAGAGTTCTATAAAAATCTATACAAAAATAAAAAACGATAACGATTCCCAGGAATTTCTTTTAATCAACTCTAAAGTTAATAAAGTCACTAAAGAAGATAATATACAATTAGAAAAAAAACTATCAGAATATGAAATTAAACAAACCCTATCACAAATGAAAAATAATAAATCACCAGGATCAGACGGCTTAACAATAGAATACTATAAAATATTCTTCGAACTGATAAAAAATGACCTGAAAGACACGTTAAATAACGTGCTGAATACTGGTGAAATGACGCCCTCACAAAAAGAAGCCTTAATTACATGTATTTACAAAAAAGGAAATAAAAATGAAATAAGTAACTGGAGACCTATATCTCTGACTAATGTAGACTATAAAATTCTAACTAAAACTTTAGCCAATAGGTTGGACAAAGTTTTACCAAAAATTATTAATAGTAACCAAACGGCCTCGATTAAAAACAGAACAATAAACAACAATTTAAGTTACACTAGAGATATTATCAGCATTTCTATTACTGATAAACTAGAAACATGTATACTTTCCATAGATCAAGTGAAAGCTTTCGATAGAGTAGATAGAACCTTTTTTATTTAAAAGTCTTGAACACTTTGGTTTTGCAAAGGTTTTTATTTCTCATATTAAGACAATCTATAATAACACAAATGCTAAAATAAAAATTGATGGCTTTTTATCCGAACATATAAAAATTCTTAAGAGGAGTACGACAAGGTTGCCCTTATTCAATGATATTATACAGGCTGAAATATTTGCAACATATATTAGACAAAATAAGGACATTAAAGGGATTGTAACTGGTGGAAAAGAAACAAAAATCCAGCAATACGCTGATGATACCAACTTCTACCTCTCGGGAGATAAATCTATAAAAGTTGTAGGACAAGCCTTAAAACTAAACAAAAAAGCCATAGGCGCTAAAATAAACCTGACGAAATGCCAAGGTATATAGTTAGGAGAAAATAGATTTAAAGATAAGGAACTATTACTAAATGTTGAATGGGGGGAATCATCGTTTAAGAGCCTCGGTATCACTTTCTCAGCTTTAGGCAGTTTCTCCAACTTCACCCACTAGAGGGACTGATTCCAGAAAATGGATAATACCCTAAACAAATGGAGCAAACATAAACTTTCATTAAAGGGAAGGGAAATCATTATTAACTCTTTGGTAATCCACAAATAACACACCTAGCCTTTATAGTACCCCTCCCAAATAATGGAGTTTTAAGCAAAATGGAAACAAAACTAAACAACTTTCTATGGGGAAGGAAAATACCCAACCTGAACAAACAAACAACACAATAAAAAATAAAAAATGGTGGAGTTGGAGTTATCAGTTTAATAAACAAACTTAAGGCAATCCAAATGTAATGGGTCACCAAATTAAATAATCAAAGGTTGGAAGGCCCGTGGAAGAACGTAATGTTTCACATAATAAACTCGCATAGGAAATCAAACCAAAACGTACAAATATTTCGAACTAATTCCACACAACTTAAAAAACTTCCACCATTTTATCTTCAATTGCTTAAAAATTGGCACGTTGTTAAAACTTCCTATTACGTTCCAATAAGAGATATAGAAGAAATACTTAATCAACCTATGTTTTATAACAATAACATCCGTGATAAACGAAAGAATAAATGCGAATATATAAATATTACAGTACTAAACAAACCTAAAAACCCTTTGAATCTAAGATATAAAAAATAGTCAGTGAGTGATTACAATAGCATGCAAACGCTAAATGAAGATGACTGAAAACAATTTTTTAAAAAAATACACAAAAGAAACACAAATAAAAAAGCAAGTGATATACTATTTAAATAGCGCGTTTTATACTACCAACAAATGAAAATATGTTTAATAGGAAATTAATAGTAGATAAAATATGCCCGCAATGCGGAGCACTAGATGAAACTTTAGATCATATGATGTACAATTGCAATAAAGTACAGCCTTTAATACTTTTTGTCTTAGACATTCTTGATCAACTTTATCCTTCTGAATACCCTCATCAAAATTCTCTTAAATTTTTATTATGAGCATATAGCGTGGAGAAACACGATAGAGAGTTTGGAAATATTTTACTCGAAACGCTAATTGTAGAAATATTTTTTAACAGGATGAAGTCATATTATGAAAAGAAAATATTTAGAATACAATTTTTACTGAAGAAACTAGATATTAAAGTTAAAAATATATCAAAAAAAGAACTTTTTATTGTAAAAACAAATAACACACAAGATAAACACATTAATGAGACTAGAAATATTTTTAAAAATGGAAATCTTAATCTGGTTGCTGATATAAAAAATTATTATAAGTAATCTTATCTTTCTTGAGTTTCGATTTTTAGTTTTGTTTCGCTTTTTCGTTTTATTTTACTTTTTCGTTTTAATCGATTTTATATTGATTTTTATTTTTTTTGTTTTTTATATTTAGTTTTTTAACGGATGTGAATATTTTATATTTGGTTATTTACCCTTACGGATCTTTGTAAAACGGTTTATTTATTTTTTTTTGTTCACGAGATTAACCCTTCTAAGAGGGACGTCAATACAAATATATATATATATATATATATATATATATATATATATATATATATATATATATATATATATATATATATATATATATATATATATATATATATATATATATATATATATATATATATATATATATATATATATATAAACACATACTGAAACTTTTTAGTCCCTGTGTAATAAGGTTAACTATATTATAACTAATATATTATGGTTAATGCAAAAGAATTCAAAGACGCTCTGGATGCACTG